TAAACTTATAAATTAAAAACATAACAGATATACATTAATTATATATATATATATATATATATATATATATATACGAAAACATTAATTATTTAAATCGTAAGTATTTATCATATAACAATTATTATACGTTGTAAAATATAGTAACAATTTTTTTATATTTTGAGAATTTTGCACGCTTTATAGATTATCTATAATGAGTTTTAAAAAAGCACGTTTTTTGTATTCTTATAGACTTTTCTTTTCGTCATTATATGAATTACTGTATAAATTTCTGATTGCGACTTATTTTAATTTTACAAAGATACAACGAGTCTTTGTAGCTGAACTTACACTGTTAGAATTTGAAGATAGGTATATTTAATATTTGGTGAAAGTGAGAAAGAGAATTTAGTGCAGGAATAAAAAAACAGACTAAAGTATATGTAACATACATAATGCAACAATTTTCAACATATTGATTCTCGAAACTATCTAATTGACTATTTTGATTTTATAAAGCAACATCTTATACAGAAAAAAGAAAGAGAAAGAGAGAGATTAAAGTTAATACATTGATAGAAATAGACAGTCAGACCTACAAATCAGTTCTACAAATTAATCTCGGTTTAATTTTCATTTTTTCTAATTTTTAAAACTAAAAGTGAAAAAGTTATAAAATTGAGATTAAAGTTCTCTACATGTTAGAATAAGAGCATTAGAGTAATGAGACTTAATTAGCAACTAACTTATTAATCAAGTTATCTCTGCAATATTTATAAAAGCTGGAAATATTAATGTTTTAATACGTTGGAAAAGAAATTAGATTATAGATAAGGAATCATACAATTAAAAGTTTTGCTGTGAATGATTGCATCGCTTCATTAGATTAATCATCAATTAAATTAATTGAAATTGTTTTTAAAGGATTATTTGATTTGCGGAATCATATAAAATCGATCAATTATTAACGTTTTTCGACCCGAGTGTGTTTGCTCTAATCTGGTTGGATTATTGACGAAGAATGTGTAACTTCAATCAATATTAAAGCTGGCTATTATTGATATTCTTTTAGATCCAATCAAATGTTTAGATCTAAAAAAATAGTGGCAAGCGTTCACTCTTCTTCTGGATTATAATGGCTCCCGCCGTAGAATCGAGTGTGAGAGGAAAGTGAGTAATAAATCTGAAACAGCCAGATGGATGCGCCATCTGGAGCGAGGCGGGAGAATTAAAGCTCCTCTTGCCTCTCTATAGTTGTCACATCTATCTGGCTGTTTCAGATTTATTACTCACTTTCCTCTCACTGGACGGTTCTACGGCTTAGAGGCTCCGCACAATAAAAAGAAGAGAGAACAGAGAATAAGGGGCTCCGTACAATAAAAGAAATAGGGAACAGAGAATAAGAATTTCAACCTATCAGAAATCATGTATGTTATAGAATACACAGTTTCTGGCAAGTTTAAATTCTTAAGGTGCAGCCACAATAAAAGGAATAAGGAATTAGGAATAAAGAATAAAAATTTCAATCTATCAGAAACCGCATACACCGGAATACATGGTTTCTGATAAATTGGTCTGATAAGTCTTGATTGTTATTCCTTATTTCTAATTCCTTAGTTCTTCTATTGTGACTGCCATTATTCTTTATTCTCTGTTTCTTGTTCTTTTTATTGTGCGAAGCCCCTTACAATCCAGGAGAAGAAGAAAACAGTTGAGTAAGCGCTCGTTATTATTGATGTATTCTTTTAGATCTAAACATCTGATTGAATGATCTAAAAGTTTCTTCAGCGAATTCTCTTTTATGGCTTCAATTGTTTCAAATCGTTGTCCTTTCATGGATGTTTTGAGTTTTGAGAAAAGGAAAAAGTCAGAAAGGGCCAAATCAGGTGAATAGGTAAGAAAATACAATCGTGCCGTTTTTAATAAAACACTCGCGAATTGACAACGCACCAGTTCATTCCGCGTTGTCAATTAGCAAGTGTTTTAATAAAAACGGCATGACTGTACTTCCCCATCTAGCCTACACATCAGATTTAGCAGGATATACACATATATTGAGCACGTTCAATCCGAATAAAGCGGTTAGCCTTTACGCCGAATGATTGAATGTGATTGGTTGGATCTATAAGTAACAATCAAATCATATTCATTTGCTTGGCGAGCAGCCTAGTCGCTTTGCCGACTTGAATGTATCCATTGTACATGCACACGTTTATATTAAATTAAGAAGTGTTGAAATTTGAAATTCACATCTTCATTTTTTCTTTTGGTAAAGTTTCCTACAATAATTTATTATTTGCCCGAGACATTACGAAGAAAAGAGGATCGCTGACTTGTTTTTGCTAAATTATATCTTAAATTGATATGTTTGAATTGATTGAAAGTCTCTATAATTGCTAGTAGTTATAAAGATTTTGATACATACAGTAATTACATTTGGTAAAAACGGACTAAAAATTTGCATAAAGAAACATAACTTCGTAATTTTATAAGTTATTATAAGATAAATATTATATAAGATAAAAGTCATTATAGATTAACTTGTTGGAATTTTCAGTTTCGTTTATTAAAACAACTTCACAGTTTCATTTATTCAACAACTTTTATTTACATATGTAGGAAATGCGAAATTAAATTTTTTTCGTTCAAGGATCCACTAATATTTCTCTTAAGTCTTATGGATAGTCAGTACACTTGTATCAGAGAGAAATCTAAGAGCCGGCCATTTTCCTGTTGCAATCGAAATAGCCCGTACATTCATTTTCAATTTGGGAACTACGTGACTACATTTACTGATACTATCGATAAAATCGTATTGTCGAAAGATGTGATTCGTCTCTGTACTAAATCCTCAGCACAGAACGTTCTTTCCATTTTGTTTTTGCATAGTGATTTCGACTAGGACACACCGACTGCACATTTTGGGTGACGGTGCAACTGGTGTGTTCGACTGGTTGAATGGTACAATTCCTCGCCAGTGTTGCATATTCGCCTGGATTCGGTACACCGCACAAATGTACACAAAGAGGCCCAGACAAATTTATTGGGTTTAGTTGGTGTAATTGTTGGGTTTAGTGCTTTCATGAGACGCTGAAAAGAAGCGTGTGTGTGATCACATCGTATTAATTTTGCCGCTAGTGTCCGATTTTGAATGTAGTTCACTTGATGATACAAATTTTTACTTGACCAAGTAGAAGAAAGAATTTTATCTGACCAATCAAAAAATGATTTGGAACATAGCAGCAAGTGGACCGTAGTCAGACGTAGCCTTCATCTGAAAAATGAGGTGTACAAATTATAGCGACAATTTTGACTTTATGAGTGATTTATATGTACTCATGGAATATTAGGCATCATCGTCATCAAGTGATCATATCAAATTAATATTGATAAAACAAAAAAAGGCAGAGCGAAAATAAAAAATTACATTAAAGAAGTGCGAAAAATGTCCATGAAATAGTGAGTTTTGCGCAATAAATTAAAACTATAGTAATATAATATTTAATATTATAATATAAAATATATCATAATAGTTATGTAATATTTAATATGTATAATATTTAATATTTATGTTTCTATTATGTATTGGGTGTACAACTTTGCTTCCGCCGTTTTTTTTCCGAAATTCGAGGCTTTATTGTAAAAAACTGGTTATACATTTATGATTCAAAGTATTGTCCATCGCTGGCCACTACTTTCTCTCATCTTTCGGGTAGCGTACGAATCCCGCGTCGAAAAAACTGGTCATCTTTTGAGGCTATCCACGAATCGATCCAATTTTTTACTTCTTCATAAGACCGGAAGTGCTGGTCAGCCAGGCCGTGTGCCATTGATCGAATCAAGTGATAGTCAGAAAAAGCAACGTCTGGAGAATACGGCGGGTGAGGTAGGACTTCCCATATCAACGTTTCCAAGTATGTCTTGACCACTTTCGCAACATGGGGTCGAGCATTGTCATGCTGCAAAATCACTTTATCGTGTCTCTCGTTGTATTGTCTTTCAATGCTCGGCTCAAACGCATCAATTGCGTTCGATACCGATCGCCTGTCATTGTTTCAGTCGATTTTAACAGTTCATAATACACTACGCCGAGCTATTCCCACCAAATACAGAGCATGACCTTGGACGTCAAAATCACTGTTCTTCTCGAAGCGTTGAAACCACTCACGTTCTTTCACTAATAGCGGCCTCATCATAAGTAGTAGTTTGAGAGCATTCGATGAGCCTCAGCCGCAGATTTCTTCATATTGAAGCAAAAAATTAAAACCTCCCGCAAATGACGAGAATTTGGCTCGTAAACTGACATTTTCAATCGAGAATAACTTTATGATGCAGACGCAAATCGACTAATGTTTCTATGGGGTTATGTTGACAGACATGCCCAAGTTTATTGTATGACGTCTATGTTCTATTTATTTCGACCACCACTTACCGCTAAAGCCATCTATAGGAAAACGGCGGAAGCAAAGTTTTACACCTAATATAATTATTCAAATTATGTAATTATTTAACAATGATTTAAAAATTATCATTTTTAAGCTAGCACTGGATGCT